ATCGAGTAAAATTGAAAGCATAGCATTTAAAAAATTAAGCCAATTTGGTAGGTCAACTACGTAATGAACTGTTCCAAATATCTTATTCAAGGAAGTTGCAGAGTTCAATTGCACTAGCGCTGCTGTCTGCAAAGAGAGCGATTCTCGCCGTGCGAATTGTCGAATAATTTGTAAAGACGATTGCATTATAGGAGGGAGAAAAAGTGTTTATGGGAGGATTATATGGATTAAGGTTTCCCATGTCTGAACCACTGCAACTAGCCTCTTAAAGAGATTTTGCATCATAATCTTGGTCAACATAAAACTTTATTGGCAGTCTTTTCATAAGGCAGATTATTGAGATGAAAGGCAACAATAGACAAAGGACAAATGAGCAGGTATGATCGATCTTACTACTGACAGCTCATTTGCAACCTCAGACTTCACCATCGCCATACAACCACACCAGATCGGCTTCAAACGCGTATGTCGAGTTAGAGATGGAAGAGTCGAACAAACGCGCCATCAAGCCGATCATCACTTACAAAGCAGCTGACATTCGAGCTACCAAATGATAGAGTTGATTACGCTTATTCAAATGTATGTATATTTGAATGAATAAAAGCTAAGATAACATATTGATAAAGTCTTTAACTCGCTGGTCGTACTTCAAGAAGTGCAACTTCGTTGCCTTGGGGGTTGAAGAGGCGGGTGACGAAGGTAGCGCTGGTGCCCCAAGTGGTGTCACTTTCGTATACGAGGTGATAGATGTAATAATTGCCTCTATCGGGGCTGGAGCCACGAGCTGATACCTGCAAGATGGTTTGTGCCTCAAGAAATGAAATATAACAACCAGAAAGTCCAACAAGTCCCACCTGAACAGTTTCTCTAGGGCCTAGCGCGAAGTGATCTGGGAATGTGAACGATCGTTCTTTACCGCCTATGAATCTGCTGATGCGAAATCCGCTCAAACGATGCTAAAATTTTATATTTTTCCATGAATTAACCCTTCATAATAACTACTCACATCACCGCGACCGGCATTTTCAATGACCACAAAATTGCCATGCTTGTCACAATCCTTGATGAGGATATCGCCCTAAAATCAAAAAATTTTTCTAAGAACTTTTTTTTTATCCAGAGATAGCTCAAACATACGGTATACGTCTTCTGCTTGATGATTCGGAATTTTTTAGCATCAGCTGTAGTGTCAGCCGGAAGATTGTTAATCTCGAACACCTCCCGTTTCTGCATTCTGTAAACTCCTTGATGTAAAAGTTACCGAAAAAATCCTGTGCAAATGCAATCAAGATGTAGATACACGAACTTGAGCAGGAACTCTTTTTCAACGAG